GCAAAGGTACGTGGGATCTGCGAATTTCACACATGCTCGCGTGGTACATATTATAGAGCCTTACTGCATATATAACTAACAGCTGGTCAAAGGAGAGACCATAGGACCCCATATATATTGCCTCGTTCAATTCTTGTCTATTCATGTGAAGTGCATCTGACACCCGTGCCATTGCTAGGCGCAGCGCCAGGAATGTCTGGAAACTTTCTCGATTGTGTTGTACAGACGGAGTCACTCTTGTCTGGAGTGCCCAGCCGGACGCTTCAGCAGCCGTTTTGTACAGAAATATGCAACACTCGACGCCACGATGATGCCAAGCATAACCATGCTGCATGTCTGGTTCTTGCGCTTTAATTCATGATTGAACGGAAGCATGTATAGCTGACGGAAGCAAGGAGCTGTGGACAACGAAGTCATCCACAGCCACACGCTCCGCTGCTTTGGAGAAGCGCGATACTGTCTTAACTCTTCTGATAAGATTGCGCGCGACGCAAGCAGCCTAATTTATTTGTGAACTAACGCAGCCGCCTACGATAACGCCGGAAAGCTTCAATCCTGGATGTGTAAACGACTTTACCTAATGCGCATAGGAACTTAGGGCTTTTAAAGGTTTCTTTTTGTTTTCACGTACGGTGACACGAATGAATGGATAAATTCATAGAACGTCCAATGCACCAACCCAAGCATTTTTATGCGCATGCGTATACCGTGGCATTGTTTGCTGTTAAAGATGCCAAACGCCAAGCTTAACAATCCTACATGGCGGCAACGGAACCCATACGTAAAATGGTCTATAAGAGCCAACGAGAGCTGCCCCAACGATCATGTTTCACCCGCCTGATGATTGTGATCGATGCTATGGTTGCACTGAGTGTGTGGCTTTTTTTTTATGGGTGTGAGTTAACGAAACAGTGTACGAATGTTCACCTGCTTTAGTTCATGACCGTCACGATATTGGCGGAACTCATCTAAGCTATTCCACCCCGTCTGATGTGCTTGCTTTCAAACTACTAAAACACCTACTTGCCAAGAATATCGTAGCTTGTGGCTTCAGACAGTCCATGTTCGCGACGACAGGTCCTCTTGCTTGAACTTCTTCGCCATGCTTTCCACATGTGCGACACCATGAACCACGCCGAGAAGTCCCCAGCATGAACTTAGATCCCTTCCCCTGCAGAATGTACAGGTCGGTCTACTGTTAAAGGGAACACGTGAGCACGTGGCCTGCACTCTGGATGGATGGATGGATGGATGGATATGGCTGTACCCTTTAGATCGGGCGGTGGCTAGCGCCACCAAGCCGTAATACTTAGTGAACCCAAAACTATATTTATTTTTTCTCCTTAAAAAGTGAGTTTGAAGATTCGTACTTTGCAGCAAAGAGTTTAATTTTCACTCGTGCCTTGACTTTAGCCACCAATCAGATAACCTCCTTTTAGTTAAGTCTACTTGCTTAAAGTCTATTTTGTTCTCCCGGTCCCTAAATCCCAGTGCTTTGAAAAACTCTGCGCCATAATCCTGAACTATAGGGTGAAGCCCTTTACAGAACATTATCAAGTGTTCGGCAGTTTCTTCTTCCTCTCCACACGCACTGCATACTGTGTCTACCCCTTCGCATTTGGTCCGATATGTCTTGGTTCGCAGTACTCCCGTCCTTGCCTCAAACGGTAGAGAACTACCCCGAGTATTATCATAGATCCTTTCCTTGGCAATTTCCTGCTTAAAAGTTCGATAGATTTCTAGTGAGGACTTCTTAATCATGCCCATTTTCCACATGTGAGTCTCCGTTTCCTTCACTTTCTTCTTAACCGATAGTTCTTTTCGGTTTGGCCACCTGCAGTTTTCTAAGTATTTACCAGTCAACTTCCTGGTTCGCTTCCTCCATTTTGTATCGACATTCTTCATGTACAAGTAGCTGAAAACCTTCCTAGCCCAACGCTCCTCCTTCATTTCTCTCAATCGCTTCTCAAAGTTTATCTTGAAAGCGAACGTGTTTTCCTTGGCTGTCGGCTGATGGTGCTGCGGCGGCTGCCTACAGCACCATCAGCCGACAGCCAAGGAAAACACGTTCGCTTTCGGCGCCATCTACTGCCAGCCAAGATAACTATTCATGGCCGGTTGACAAGCGCTGCTATATTACACTCCCTCACCGCTCTCGCAACTAGCGATGCTGGGCGTTGCCTGCAGCTTGCGCCGGGCTCGCGCACTATGTTAGATTCGTTGGCAGCAGACTGCGCACTGTAGGTATCGCTCTTTGTGGGAGCGTAATCTAGCAGCGCTTGTCTATACCGGCCATGACTCGTTATCGTGTTTGGCAATAGATGACGCCAAAAGCGAACGTGTTTTTATCAACTGTCGATTGATAGTGCTGTATGCAGCCGCCGCAGAGTGCAAACCACGCACTCGCGTGTTTCCCCTTAATTTTCCTACTTTTCTATCGTAATCGTCATTACCGTAACTTTCTCTCATATGGCAGAAAAAATGCCGCCACCTATCAATAAACACTACCACCACATGGTGAGCGGCCATGTGGTGGTCGTAAGTTTGCGAGCTCAGATCAGAGACGGACACGATGCACAAATTGCAATCCCATAATCGTCAGCTGTCTCAGTAGTCAGCCATATGCCTCCCACATTGCTGGAGAAAAACTGGTACGGCACGGACTGACAAACACGGACGCCCGCGTTTGTGACTTCGCGTCTTTTCTTCGTATACCCGTCCTTCTTGCGCCTTATAATGCCCAACAGCATGCACGCTATTTTTCGAGCAACAACAACAGCGACGGGATTTGCTGTCGTGGAGACCCATCCGTCACCGTCGCGTCACGCAGTTCTGAAAAAAAAAAAAAAAAACAAACAGGAAAGATCGCTTGGGTCGCCCGGAAGCCAGCGTGACGACTTCCGGCAACATGGCTTCATTCACGGTCCTCGCTTCGATTGCTATGTGCTCTCATTGCTTGTTATCCGTGCGTATACTTCAAGAAATGCAAGGTATCGACTACTTGTTTTTTTTTACATTCGCATCTCCCGCGGAGAGTGCAACAGCAGCCGTATTTGTGTTGTAGATTTAATTATCGAAGCTTTGTTTTAATGTTTCGATAGTGGTGGCTCGATGTTCGCTTGCTGCAACGTGAAATCGTCATGCGAAGTGCGTCGTAGCCGTCGTAGCGTATACGCTTCGGGCACCCCGTCGCGGTTAAACCAAAAATAGCGAAAAAAGAAGGTCGTGAAAGGCTTGTGGCGTCCTTATGCCACACAAGATAGTAATGAATTTGGCATGCTCTCATTCGCCTACTTTTAAGCTTATTTTCAGCATCTATGGTCGTGAAGGCGATATTTTTCAATCTGGCAAGGATGACACTTTCTCACCGACATGTGGTTGCAGCCGTCACGACGGAGCAAGTTTGTCGCCGTCGTCCGTCGCTATCACTCGAAAATGGCGCGCATGCGATTGGGCCTTCACACATTTTTCAAATGAACGAACTATCTCAGCTCCCAGCCCTGTTCTAGCGTGTCTTTCTCGTTGGTCTCAACTGCCGAAACAGCGTCATCGGATAATGGACCAGGTGCTGTCGCGCGGGACGCGAATGCACCATCGTCATTGATGTTGCTGCACTCGTCACCTCGCTGTCGCTTCGTCTTCAACGGCATCGCCCTTAGGTTAATTTCACCAGTATGCGCATCGCTCTATTGATTACCTTTGAGCGACACTTTTCCATTCAGGGATTTGCAGTCCGACAGTTCCAAGCAGGTAATCCTATTGAGGAATAGCTTTAGCAACTTTCACAGCGAAAGCTGTTATGGGATCACAACAAGGGTCACATGCGTCGTAGTTGTCCGCCACCGGCGTCCGTAACCACTGTCGGTCGACATAAACAAATAACACCAAGGACACAATGGAATTGTAGCCCAAGTCCCCTGCGTACCCGCCTAGTATTCTACCACAAAGTCACGCTGGTGCTTAATATCCTAATGCAAACTTACCTTAGACAGGCCACTTGGGAAAAGAACCGCGTTAATATGCGTAATAATGCGTTTTAGAACAACAAAGGAACAACCAGGCGTAACACATTGCGAATTGCATAACGAGTGGGTCGTAGAATTTTCCAACCCCCCTACAAAAAACATCAGGCATAATGTTTTATCGTCGTCAGCCACAGCGTGAAAAAATTGCACAAAATTCCTGGCAAGTGTGTAGCGGTATACCACGCTTCTCAGAAGAATGACGAAGGAGGGCATAGTGAATGTTTTTTACTACACAAACACGAGTTATGGCATAGTGGGTACCTTGCAAATTTTTTTGTAGCAGACCCAAAGAGCTCAAAAAGCCTCCAAGAGGCCGCTCTTCGAGCTTTTACTGTAACCATGCTGCGTGTTCAACGCGGGCCTGGCGTATTTTTTTTTTTCAGAGGTCTCGCCGCTTAGCGGCCTATGAATATCTGGGACGGATACGTCAACATGCCTTAGGTACAGCCTTATCTCTGCTCTTCCCATCCAGATTTAGGCAACCAATCACAACAAACCAGCTCTAGTAAGCGATTTTCTTCAATAGACTGCTCCTTCTGGTCCTGCTTGAAGCAATGCATCCCTACTGAAAGGCTCCGCATGCCGTTACCAAATTTCCATATGTTAGCTTAAGAAATCCATGTGGTTGCCGTAATAATCTTACAGAAACCTACAGAATTATTGGAATGGCATATGAAGCGTTCCACTAAGGGTGCTTAGAAGTCAACTTGTACTTTTGAAATTAATTTTTCGTTCACTATTTCCTAAAATTTCTCTCTGCTGGGTCGTTTTGTACAGGGCCGAAAGCGTAAGAGTGAACACCTTTTCATTTTTCAAGCCCCGAAAATGTAATTTATTACGCTTCACCACATATATAAAGATATATGACGTATAATTATGGAGCCAATAGACCATAAAATTGGAGGACGATTGAGCTTCACCTTCAAGAGTAAAAGGGAAGAGTAAAAAGGAACGGACAAAGAACACAGCGGAACATTGGTGTGGTGTGAAGACACTTTATGTATAAACAAGAATCACAAAGATACACCTATATGAACAAACGCTTACAAAGTCTATACAAAACAGGTTTTCCTGTACGGCTACATGATCACAATCACTCCTACCGAACTGCGAGTGAAACACACGCTTCGCTTTGGTTTTCTTTCTTTTTTGTTTCTCACTTAAATAACGTAGAGGACAGAGCATCAACGACTAAGGCAGGGAAATTTCAACGACCCTCTCACAAAATCGCCACAACAATGTGAAAAAGATAAATGCCCCGCACGTTCCCCCCAAGCACTTCCGTTTTACAGAGCCAAACATCCGCTGAGTTTTTATTCTAGAGAAAAAAATATCGTAACATACGATTCTCGAATAAGCCCGGTTTCACGAACGCCTTCACCTGTGACCCAGCTTAATGTGAACTTCGCTGCAAGTCATTCGTTGCCAGACGTAGTACTCGAGGCACGCTAACCGCTCTCAGAATAGAATTTCATTACGAGCTGAAGTAGTCCACGTTCCGCGTCCTGGCAAACGAGTGACTAAGCTGGCCTCACATTCCCAAATTCGCGAGAAACGCCTAAAGCGTAGAAATTTGCGCAAGATAGTTTTTTGCCGTACTCATCTTTAGATCACATTTTTTGCTACAGGACTTAAGTGCTCAGGGAGTCATTACGGGGAAATTTCGAAAAAAATAATAAATAAAATAAATAACCATCACACATGGCAAACACTTCTATGAACAGAAGTTTCCTAGCAAATGACAGCCTCGTCACACGTCGCAAAATATTAGCACGAACAACAGAACAAACTCAATAAGAACAAGTGGCTTGGAAAGTTCACGCATGCACACAGTTGAAATACTTAGGAAGGAGAGCAGCATTTAAACATAAAAGGAACTGTTCACCACTGCGCCGGCATTTTTTTTTCAACCACCAACAGACGCTGCCATTTATTGTAATTTCACGGCACCGTCGAGACAGTCATACAAATTTTGATTAGACAACGTGGGCGTAAATCATTTCAATACAAGTGTGTTGGGGACACAACGCACCAGAAGCGTGGCAACACTCAAGCGCAGCGGATAGGCCATAGATGGACTCAAACGTCATCGGAATCGCATGACGTACATCAGCAACAGTAACACTGGTGGCGGCATCTGGTGACGCGGCGTTGAACCGAAGCACAGACTGCAATGACTGACGTTACTTCAGTCTTTTGATGGCGTGAACCGTGTATGGTAGAGAACTACCCGTTTCTCGAATGCTGTATTTGTACATCACGAATTATATTTTCACGTGTAATGGTCGATTACAGCCGTACCGAGATGCAACTTACGAGGGCGTCTGGTCTAGGTAAATTGAGCGCGTTAGTTAAGCGACCAGATGACTTATCCGCTGCGCTTAACAGCACCGAATGAAACGAGTGACAACCGTTTTTTTTCATCCCAACATGTATTATTCTGCAAGCAATATCACACAAAAAAGTTGTAAAAAACAAAAAGTCACCCCCCCCCCCCCCTCAAAGAAAGCTATCAGCTGCAGGGTATTACGGTTCTATCGATTGTGTACATGAGGAGACATCACGAACGTCCTTTGCACAAGTTATTCATTTATCCGCTCGACATCACAACTGTTCACATAGTGTATGCACGCCGGTTACCGCAAAGAAAATAAAAGCACATGTGTTCAAAAAATAGAAATCACGCCTCTAACACATTACATATATACCTCTACTACGCGCGCACAGTTTGAAAACTACTGGACGCCGTTTCAGCTAAGTTGGACGAAAAGAAAAAAACTGAAGACAAATGTACAATAGACGCTATGTACATCGCTGCAAGAGTGACTGTATCACTCCGTAAATATAGCGCTAGCACACAACCATAATTCGTCAAAAGCAGCCAAAATACATAAATTTGAATAACACAAATACAGACATTGGCAGCCAAAATAATGACGCACGAAATGGCAGACGTGTCCGACACGAAGGGCGACAAGATCATTGTGGAGGAAAGAAAAATATAGATCTGGCACTCTTCGTGATACGGACAGTTCTTTTATATCAGAGGACATCACATTTGTGCTGCTTCGTTTAATATACGACGCCTGAGCATTACTTAGGTGCAGGCCCTACATGTCTAAATCCATGTTCAACAGCGGGTTGACACCAGAAACGTAGGTCTCCTATTTTGTTTATTAGATTTTCGGTTTGCACAACCCAACGCTACGCCTTTAGTGCGGCTTTATGGGACGAACGTTATGTGTGTCTCCTTGGCGGCAGAAGGGCTCTTACACCCTGGAGCCATCTAAACACGATAAACCAAGGCCCCGCAAAGAAATTTCTCGAGGAATCGATTTGGTAATGCTTCTTGAATATCCTGCACTCATCGCATATACAAGGGCGCTAGAAAAATCGCAGCACTGTGGCGTGTCCTTTGCTCTTCTGGAGTCCTCCTGGTATCTGCGATGCGTTCAAGATGTTTGATAACGAAAGAATCAGTAGCTCTAAAAACGGCCAAGAAGAATTGCATCAGGCAGCGACCTCTGCAAATGTTAACAAACTGACAGTCACCGTAGTCGTCTGATCAGAACAGTAGTTTTGCAAACATAGTGTACTAAAGACGTGTGCTCAATAATTGGTAAATATATCCAATGATACCCTTGAACAAAGAATGTTTGCAGTCTATGAGTCGGCAGATTAACGTTCCCTACCTGGCCATAAATGTACGAAGAACCCAGAATATTTGCACCAGCACAGGACAACTGATCGGAGACTACAGTCCAGGACAAAGTAACAAACACTGGCATTTGGCGTTTCGCAAGCGAAAATTCCAAACACTAAGTCTCGAGCGGCTATGTCTACGCTGCATCAAACATCACTACAAATTTAAAGAATCGCTTGCACCTTCGCAACTCGGTATGTCATCACAAATGGAATAAGAGTAGTCCCGTGGCAGAGTTACGCTCATGTTTTTGCTTCTCGCAGCTATTAAATTGCGAAGCGAAGGTGAAAAACTCGCAAATAGTATCAACGCAGAGCCCGAAAGTTTCAGGCACCTAATGTTCATTTTCCTTCATATACGCAGTACAACCAGTGATCGGTTTTGCTACGCTTTACCTGCTACTTCTGTAAACTGTTTTTCTCCCACCTGTTAACAAAACCGCGCCACCACAGGGAACGTAGGTGCAATCACCTATTGTTTATTTCTATAGAACAACCTAAATTGCAAATCAGGTTCTCAAAAGGTTTGATAAGCCGCGGGTCGCACAGCGCCAGTGAAGTACCAATGCGTCACGCTAACTACTTGTCGTTACGCTAGGCAAAAACGCGGACGAAAGCTAACGACGTCGTGAAACACGTCCCAAAACTATGTGGGTGTTTTCCTACGTCGATGCAAAATGTCATTCGTTACTGATGCCAAGCAATACAAGCTCATGCTACTTTCAGGCTTAATCTCGAGCGAAGGTTAATCTCAAGGGAACGCAAACAACGTTGCCGTAAATTCTCCACCTATTACACCCGTTGACTTCTTACCGCGAACTATTGTGCTCTAATTGGATTTCAAGTGGGTTGCTTCTGGTCTAAACCACTTACCGGCAGTAGATGAAATGCAAAGTGCATAAGAAGGCAGGCGCCCTATTAACACACATGTGCATACCTCCCTTCCTGCGTGGTAACTCCAGACAGACTTTCCAGCGGCTCTGAGGCTGAACATCTATAGGTGTCGTTGCTATACAAAGCTCATTTTCGTTGGCCGCAGTAGTTGGGCGATCGAGTAACAGTTGGGTGATCGAGGCTTAAGGTAGTACGTTTTAAAAGCTCCAGTAGCAAGACTTGGGCCTTTACTTCATGAAATGCTCTTCCTATTCTCACCACATCGAGTGGTTTTTGTCATGCTCGTGGCAAAAGCAGCCAACGTGGCAGACTATACGTAAGAACTGCAATTTGTGCATGAGAGGTTATACAGTGTTAGTTGGTGCTTCTCAGGGAAACTAATATTAGGGAACTCGGTTCGTAACGAAAAATAGCGGACCTCTGCAAACTTTCAGAGTTGATGAAGTCAGAGGGATAGTGTAAATAAAGTGCGATCACTAGAACGCCAAACGCCCATAGTGTAAGGTCATTTGCACAAACAAGGACGAGACATCCAACAACGCGTTTGAAAATGCGTGAGGACGTCAAATATCGGCACTGGAAGGCGCTCTATAGTACAAGTGTGCCACGCCTAGGAGCCCAGAGTAGTGTCTACCTTCATTCTAGAACACGTCAGCCACAAAGGGAAGAAACAAAATGAAACGGTTTTGTGATGAGACGCCGACCTTCTAGCAGGATGCCTAATGGCACGAAGTGTTGCGGGAGACTCCCGACGCTGTCTTCCGGTGTTGTGATGGTGGTACTACGTTGGCCTAGGTGGCGGCTCTGCCCCCAGCCGTGGAGTGGCGCTGGAGGTGGCAATGGTGGCGATAACATTGATGGCGATTCTGTTTTCCCCACGAGCGGCTATGCGAGGCTGTTCTCGGCCTTGTTAATCTCCATGACGATCTGGGCGTGCTCTTCGAGCAGCTTGGCGAACTCCTCCTTACGCAGTTCGGCGTTCATCTGCGCGTGAACAAACAGCAGAAGGGAAGCATAACTTGAATAAAAAAAAATAGCGTAGCTTTCAGCATAGAGTGACGCAAGTCTAAAGAGACAGCGGTTAATTTGTAATTATATTATTCATAGGTAATTATCTATTAGCTGATGATTAGTTATTGACCAACTTGTAAGGCACTTGTCATGGAAATTTACGTCTAGGCTAAGCTTAAGCAATCAGTATCTGGAGTTCATTGGCTGGTGATCGATTGCCAATTCGCTATTGGATGGCTATCGAGTGTATATCACGTAGTATCGATTGCTAGGCGAAACTTAACAAGTGACAGTCATGCTCAGTTACAGCTTCGATCTTCAGCACATTGTCATTACCAGTGGCAAGATGGCGCGACGGGGTCGCATTGCGTAGAGCAATTGTGTATGCTCCCTACGGGAGCAGCGTAGCGCATATGTCTGCCATCTTTCCTTGTTAGCGACCATAGTTACACAGTCACGCTCTGTTTTTGCAGGTGACCTGCTTAAGCCTGTCGCCGATCGATAAAGCGTGTCACTGATCGCCAGTTGACGTGCCTGGCGTGTGAATGACCTCCGAAGGAAGAAGAAGCATCTGCTTTCGGCACCGTCCCACGCGAATCCAAAAGCAGCATTTTTAGATGTGAAGCAACTGTTTGACTAGCCTCTGTAACGCTGTCCGTCCGTGTCTCCGTGCCAACGCACCCCACCACGCTCCCCTCGCCGCGGTAGCTGAAACTACTTCGCGTAAGTCAAATCACACCTGCGCGTTGACGTCACTCTCTTCCTCACCCGCAGCAGCTGATCGCTCCTCCACCAGCTCGCAACACACTTCTCTCTCGCTTCACTCTCTCCACCACCTGCAACGCTCGACCGCTCGTCAAGTGGAAACACTAGAGAAATTTAGTTGCGGGTTTGCAGCAGACGTATGGACGCGGCCTGCCATTGCAAATGGCTAGCAGGCTGCGTCCATATACGGCTGCTGAGGAAGCGCAAATAAATCTGTCAACTCTTTCGGCTCGTTTATATGCGATGAAACTTGCACGAAAACCAATCCACCTCACGTGTCTTAGCGTTTCAAAGAAAATAACGTTTACTCAAGTAAATCACTACACCGAGTTTCACTTCAAATCGTTCTCCCAGCACCCGCGTCTTCGCCCGTTTCAACGAGGTGAATGCTGTGCGCACCTCTGCTGCCTCGCATCCCATCGAGGATGCCTTCAAGGAGATTGTGCATAATTTTTAGTCTGTTCGGTATACCGCAAAATACAAAAGCGTAGCGCAGTGCCTAATAACATGCACCACCACTGCCGCATGGTCAACTGACGCCAGCTATAAAAGATAAGCAACAACTCACAAACAAGAAATATAGGTCCTCCGAGATTTAGGGAGTCGCCCACTAAACCTACAGCGTCGATTTTTATAGTTTTTTTAACATGGGGCCGAATCCACGCAAATATTGTGCTCATAACAGTTCGTTGCTGACGAGCTACCAATGCATGACGGTCACTTGATAGATTCCAGGTGGACGGCGACCGCTTTCGATGGTGCGGCCTGTGCACCATCTTCTCCACAGTGCGACGTTGCTAGCGGTGCTAAAACAAAAACAAATGCGCTACTTTTCTACCTAAAAGTGGCATATACAGTTGCTCTAATGTTGGGCGTGCTCTAAAGGTCGCAGTCTTCGCCTCCCCGAAGTGCCGCTTCTACGGACCCTGGTCTCCCCAGCGCGCGCGCTTATCAGACTTGTTATTCGGGGAGGACGAAGCTCACTTCGCACGCTGCCACGGCCGCGTTTACAGAAGGAGCGCGCTGCTGACACAAAACGCACGAAGAATTGTGACAGTTGTTCACGCTTGTCTTGTGTATACTTGAGCGCTTGTTTAGTGCGTCTTTCAGTTTGAGCAGCGCACTTTAGGTGTCGAGCTGTGACAGTTGTTTGTCCGCTCTCGTCCGGCGAATACTAATTTCGTGCGTTCTTTCTACTTGAGGTGTACACTGCACGTTTTAAGCCGATTTCCATTCCTAACGCGATTTTGCAATGAGTTGCTGCTGCTGAAACAAAGCACAATAAATGCTCAACTATCTCTGTAAAGACATTTCTATTTCGTTTCAATCCATATATAGGGGGATCAGCTACATTTTTAGGCTCTAGCTTTTAAGAGCTGAAAAGCACTCGCTTAACAACCTGCCTCTGTCTTTACCTTTAATATGTCACCAAACCTGTCGCGTTGTACAAACTGTTCACGTCACACGAGTTCACTTTTGAAACTGCAGACGACAATTGTTTGCGGGTTCGTTCCAATGACACAGCAAGACTGCGATCGTGCCAAGGTCAGCTGTCTTCCGAAGTTGAAAGTCTCCCTTCACATTAAGGAGGAGCAAAAATGAGCTCTGGAAAGTCGTTTTCATTTACAGGCAGTGACTTGCTAGCGATTATTCCATGGCCTGCCCTTAAAAAAAAGGCACGTGTGATCGCATCGCAGTATGTGCCTGCAATAGCTGTTAATTGTGAGTGCTTCAATCATCACGAGACGCAAGTTCGTTTGCTAGGAGCTGGAGACAATTAGCAACCCGAGTGTGATGACGCTGGAACATTCTGCAGGACACCTGTTCGCTAACCATGTTGGGTTTCTCTGCAAGGACCGCTCCGTGAATACAAAGGGTCTTGCACTGAAGGGCTCAGGACATACCACTATGCGGTGTTTTTTTCACGTGCACTGACATAACACAGCATACGATCTTCTAGTGGTCGAAATCGAACGCACGACTTTCAGGTCTGTAGCCGTACACCGCCAAACTACTCTACCACCGAGGCGGATTCCTTCAGTCAGTGGGATCGGGCAGACACCAGCGCAAGTGTCATTGCCTGGAATACATCGAAGAGTTTGCTCTCAAAATCCACACGCTCAAAACTAATTCTTTCCAGCTAATCCAGAGCACTCCTTTGCATATTAAGAGTGCATATTTGCATATCTAGAACACTGTGTGTGACGTCACGTTTGGAATGTCAACGGAAGCGACGCAGCCTGTGGCATCGCTATTTTGGCCGCTGCTGCGACAGCAGCAGTGTTTGGCGTGGAAAAGCTTCCTTCCTTCCTTTGTGGCGTTTTTTCCTCTGCTTCGCCGGTCTGGCTTTCACAGTTTTCACACTCCGCGCCGGCGGGACCAGTATACGAATGTCGGTTCTTACCAAACAGTACGTCATACGTAGACCGTGCGCTCGGTTGGGTTTCGGTTTTGGTATTATCCGTTTTTGCTCATTAAAAGTTACTTTGAAATTTCCTGAGCCTTCCAGGTATTGAACTCGTGTCAAGAGTGTGTCAGAAACACAGACACACCATTACCTTGACATGGTCGAAAAATCACTGGAGTTGGCCTTTCACATGCACTGACATAGCACAGTACACAGGTCTCTGCTTTCTTTCATCTGATGTTAGATAGTAGTGTGATTGCACATCTTACGTTCGGCAGTAGAATATTTTCCATATAAGGACAGGAACCACTTATACTCATCATTACGAAAAAGAAAAAAAAATGCAGCTTCGACAAGAACCAACACTAAACAGCAGATAGCAGTTTATGCGCCCTACGGATTTTAAAAACGTCGCTGATCACTATTGCTGCTCTGTTATTACACCATCTGACGAAGGTCACATGTTCGAATCCCCGTCGTGGTGATCGCCTTCACGTGGACAGCAAATAGAAATTGACACTCGCACAAGCGTAAGCAGCAAGAAAAAGGCGCGACTGGGCTGTGAGCGGTGGGAGGGGGGAGGGAAGGTGTTAGAAGCTAGGGGTTGTGAGCGGGGTTACACTTTACCACCCACCACACCGTAGTGAACAGTTTAAAAATGCAAATGAAACATACACAAATAAATACATATACAAACATGCGTATCATCACGATCATCATCAGCCTGACTACGCCCACTGCAGGACAAAGAACCCTCCCATGAGTTCGCCAGTTAACTCGTTGCTGTGCTCGGCGCTGTCAATTTAAACTCACAAACTTCTTAATCATACCTGCCCACCTGGTGTTCTGTCTCGCCTTCATACCTTTGCCTTCTATTGGAATACAGTCTGTGATATTTAATGACCAGCGCTTATCCTGCCTTCGTTGTATACGTGCCCTGCCCATGACCATTTCTTCTTGATTTCGATTACGGTGTCGTTAACACTTGTTTGCTCTGATACACTCTGCCCTCTTCTTGTCCCCTAGGGTTACACATATCAATTTCTTTTCCATTGCTCGCTGCGTCGTCCTCAACTTAAGTTCAACCCACTTTGTTATCCTCCAGGTTTCTGCTCCGTAGGTAAGTACCGGTAAGATGCAGCTGTTATATACCTTCCTCTTGAGGGATAGTGGCAATGTACCAACAAGAGGAAATGAACAAGCTAATTATGACCTAGGACTCCACCTTTCAAATCCTGGCCGTCCAGAGTGCCCGCGGGAGGGCCCTCTGGTCCGGTTAAACCTTACCGTTCCCAAGTGGGCCTAGCCATGTGACGCAGAGTTGACTCGCGTCTATTGCGGACCTAATGAAGTTCTTTCACTCATTCACCCCATTCGTATTCTTCTACTTAGTTCCACCTCGTTGTTCGGCTCCATGGTTGCTACCTGTCTAAGGTAGACGTACTCTTAATAGTTCAAGTGCACTGCTACCTATCTCGAAGCACTGTTGTGTTCCGAGGTTGTTGCACCTTACTTTCGTTTTCTGCAGAGTAACTTTAAGACCTGCCTTTTTGCTTCCCTTGTCTAATTCTGCTCTCCTTGTCTAACATAAGTGTAAGGTAGCCTAAACACCCCATCTCCTGATATCCTGACTAAGTTGATGCTCTAACTACGTTGCTATCCACTGACGTGGTCACGCCTATTTACGCACGCCTCAAACATCTCCGACTGGTGAAAATTTATTCCAGCCATGGCGTGACACACTTCCACGTGAAAGCGTCGCCTCGGGACGTTGCTTCCATCAATCATTCTAACGGTACTTTATAAAGCGCGCGCCTCACGCACAGCATGGTAAGCTGAGGTATGTTTGCGCGGGTACACCATTCCTGACATTCGAAAACCTGTGTACGTAACAGACGAACGAAAAAAAGGCACTCGTTCTTGGAGCAAGAATTTACTTTCTCATCCCGTCTTCCAGTACGTGTTCGGTGTACGAAAAAAAGAAAGAGCAAATAATAATAAAAGAAAAATATAAATAGCGGCAGTGGTTGAGATCGCATGCTTTGTTTTTTTTTGTTTTTTGTAGCCACTCATTCGGTCATCCATTAGGACTACACTGTCACCCGCATGATGGTAAAGCAGCAGAAGAAAAATAAAAAAAGGGAAGGAAAGATGACCTTATTTCTCTTCACCGAAAAGACGCGATCAATCAGGCTTTCAGCGAAAACCCAAAATGCGCAGAAAAGCACACACTTTCATGAACTGCGCTTCGCTATGTAATGCAGTTTTTTTTTCTCTTTTCCGTTCTTTGTACCGGAAGCAAGACTTTGCCCACCGCTTTAGTGCCGGAAGCATTTTCCGGTATCCGGGTAAACCGATATCACAGAGAGGTATATAGTTCAGGGAGAAACAAGCTTTTTTTTTGTGCGTAGATGAGTTATAGGGAAGCGTTCGCGGGTTGTTTGTCTTGGATAACGCGAGCAAGTATGTTCAGCAGAACGCACAAGAGCTCATGGAAGTAGTGACGCAAGGAAAACTTGCAAGGGAAAACGGAAGTGGATATACGCGGAACATCGGAAGTGGAGACTTGTTAGCGAGGTTCTTGGAATGCCTAGTACAGAGGGTCTTTACAGTTCCCAGTGAATCAGTAAGCAAGGAAGATGGAATCAATGGCGGCATGCATTTTTCGTATCCGGAAGTGTAGAAAGGTACGCTAGCGATTTAGCCAAACACGTATATTATTCGTCTACAGAGTATATAAGAGTAGCACAATCAAGTAGCCGACAACATTCTAATGTTATTGACAGGTGTTGATGTCATGCCTACAAAATCAACTGAATCACGGACTAGAATTGAAAATTTTAAAGCGCGGGACCAGTTCAACTGACTCGGCAGTTATATAACCTCTGAGGAAGGTCTTAGGTCGTGGTTAGCGTAGCACAGGCTAATGAGGATGATTGTGGTGGTTTTTGTGGTGAACTAATTCGAACGAACATTGTACGAGGGAGACAGAGAGAGAGAGAAAGAGAAAATCTTACAATTAGGCTTCGAACCATGTCTTCCTCGGCAGGTGTGGGTGTTTTGCAGGCTGTAAACGAAAAGGAAAATGTGTAAAAGTTATGTTGAGATAAAATGATCAGAACGTCTACAATTGGTCACGTACAATCCGGACGAGCAAGAAATATTCCAAAATTAGCGTTGCACGTTCCCAGATCCAAATACCACAGAAAGTAACAAAAACCGTACCCAAGTGTAAGCAAGCGCAGCTGAAAGAAAGTTCCTAAGCGTTACTTGTAGTACCATAGCTTACAATACTGGCTTTAGGATAGTTTTATACATTGATATTTCTTGATATGCAAGTGGTAAGGCTGGTTCGTTACTGCTTCTTCAAGTTAGCACTGTATAGCACTCTGTAAATAAAGTGCTACGTATTATAAAAAAAGAGATACAGTTCCCGAGTGTAGACTATAAAAATTAACTCTTATTTGTACATGTAAGAGTAGCACGAGTTTAACTCTTAATAAATAAGAGAGTCAATGCGACTCTCAAGAGCGAGTGGTACAAATGCAACTTCCACGCGTATTAAAGAAGTTAGAACTCTTAGAGCGTACGCTCTAGATCTGTAAGACGCATAGGGCAAGAACTGACTTTTGTGCATGTGACAGTCACGTGTGTAGAACTCTCTTTTGAAGCATGTCGACTCTCCTTAGAGAGCCCCACTGACTCATTAGAAGAGTCAATGTCAGAAAAAGATACAATTAGACTCTCTAAAAAGAGTGCTACATATGTGGCTCTCACACGTATAAAAAAAGAGTCAAATAACACGTTTTTTTTCCCCTACAGTGTGAAGTGATATGACGTATGAGTAACGCTCATACTAAAGCACCTAGACATGAACAGCTGTCCTCAGGCAGTACAGAGTGCCGTATTGCTGAAGTCACAAGAAGGTCCTTAGAAGGCTGGTAATATATCATGCATGTATCATTGGTGTTTCAACGGATGAGTTTTAGAAAAATACGCCCGAGCAGCTTCGAGAATAAGACGGCTGTGAGCTAACTACATTATCCCACTACTCCAGCGAGGAAACAAGCGCTACTTCGCGGTTTTGCACGAAAACTGACCATTAGACCTTACTTCATAATGTAAAGGTGTCAACTTTTTTTTGTGCGACAGCATTTTCTCGAACGAATTAGCATCTTTTTTCTATGAAACTTTCTTCCTCACTGAATGGAGTTTTGTGCATAAGATATACTCCGAAGGAAAGCTTAATCACGGTGTTTAATGGTTGGTTATCGCTAGGGTAATCATTAAAAATGGATTTTATTTTGCGAGAATAAACGTAATAGACGACAAAACGAAGCCCCCATAGCCAAACTTTTATGTTGCCTCAGTTAATGAAAGACACGGTCATCATAATCACAATCAACCCCAACAACGACGAATGATTTGCTACAAAAGAATGGACATTTGGGAAAGCGGGAACCGGTTATGCATTTTAAAACTGATTAGCGTAAACACGAGGACACTTCTTCGTGCGTCTTCTTGAGCCATCGTTATTGCGCTGCTCGGTGCCACATGTACGAAACATGACTACCTCACGAGAGCGTGTCTGAATTCTTACTGTAGGGGTCGTCGTCGACGCAAGCCGCTGCGGAGGGGTCCACTGGCTCGACGACTATGCTGACGGTGAGACCACTCTTGCTCAGACCTTTCTCGGCGCCCAGTGTGAGCACGTTCTTCTCGCCGCTGGGTGTCGTCACTAGACGTCCTTCACTCTGCTGCGTGAGAAAGCAAGAGAGCAGGGTCAGATAAAAGGAGAGAGCTTTTACATATGTGTCGCAGAGACACCATTTCAATGCACTGTAATGAAGAGACAACTTAACCATGTTCACCCTCGGGGAAATGCTTGGGAGTTTTATTATTGATGATGATGATTAAAGTGTAATTAATGAATTTAAGTGTTGTTTGTCATGAAGCATTTCTACACAGATACATTATATACGCAGTATTAATTATTTACACTTCACGATTTTCGTACGATGCATTAAATGCACACATCGCGAGCGCGTCACACACACACACAAACTACACTACAGATTAGCACCTATTCGTGTTATCGTTGTAGCTCACGGTTAGTACCAGCGCTTTCTTCACGGCTCGATGCTGACGCTTCATCTAGGCCTCGCGAGCGCGCAGTTCACCATCCGCTGCGCGCTTCGCCCGCTTGTCCTCGGCCTCGCGAGCGCGAAGTTCGGCATCCTCTGCACGCTTCGCCCGCTTGTCCTCGGCCTCGCGAGCGCGCAGTTCACCATCCGCTGCACGCTTCGCCCGCTTGCACTCGGCCTCGCGAGCACGCAGTTCACCATCCGCTGCACGCTTCGCCCGCTTGCACTCGGCCTCGCGAGCACGCAGTTCGGCATCCGCTGCACGCTTCGCCCGCTTGTCCTCGGCCTCGCGAGCGCGAAGTTCGGCATCCTCTGCACGCTTCGCCCGCTTGTCCTCGGCCTCGCGAGCGCGCAGTTCACCATCCGCTGCGCGCTTCGCCCGCTTGCACTCGGCCTCGCGAGCACGCAGTTCGGCATCTGCTGCACGCTTCGCCCACTTACGTTCGGTCTCACGAGCCCTTCGCAGCGCCGCCTTGTCTTCCAACGTCGGCGAAACCACCGCGGTACCGTCACCTCCAACGACGGGTGCAGTGCTGGCATTCGGTTGTACTGCATTCGTTGTTGATGGTAGCGTTGCCTCCGGGACATCCATCGCACGACCACTCTCGACGGGAGACAGAGAGAAGGCGGGCGCGCGAGAGAGAGGGGTGCGCGCGCAGCTACAGTGAGCGAGGAGAGCGGAAGAGCAAGCGAAGGGGGAGGGGGTATAAGGCGCGTTACTGACACCGATATCAGCGTCGCGTCCGTGGCTTATTCGGTAGAGCGTCGCGTTGCGGCCCGCCAAGTCCTCTTTCTTTTAAAGATAGAGAGAAGACTGCGGACGCCGCCGACGGCGGTGGATGGTTTGGGGTCGCTTATAAAGTGTATTCACACTTAAAAAAATTGCTGGAGTAGACATTTTTCGCCCACGAGTGAAGCCGTACCAACCGTAAGATGGCACTCAGAAGTGTGGCGGTTTGGGCTAGTTAGTATGACATGATAGTTATAGCGCGAGAGCAGAATGAGCGCTCGTCTCCTTCGTGCCTCTTTTCCGTCATGCTGCTCTCGCTCTATAACTATCGCCATATCGTAAGACGGCGGCTGCGGCAGCCATCTTACTAGGGCATGATGAACTATTTGCGTTCGGTGTTGAGAAGGAGCATTTTCCTCGCACGCCAACCGAGTTTAACGTGGCAACCTTTTAGGGCCAGATAGTGCCTATAGTGCGTTCTTATGTTACTAGTTTCCTTTATAGTAAGCCTCAATTTCAAGGCAAATTTCATTGGAGATTAAGTCACCGATACTAGTCTTTGCGGATTATTTCTTCGCAAAGAACTATCTTGTAATTTATAATTATTGTAGCTTTTAGTCTAACAAACCAAAGCCACTTTATGTCTAAGTGGGCACCACCAGAAAATCGCATGTTTCTGAGGTTTTGCAGGGCAAAAGCTGGCTTCACTACTGCTGGCAAAGCATTGTGGGAGCTTCAACTCCAGCAATTTTGTTTAAACCTCCTTGCTCACAAGCAAGGGGTCGTTTTTGCCCCGCCGCGGTGGTTTAGTGGCTAAGGTACTCGGCTGCTGACCCGCAGGTCGCCGGTTCGAATCCCGGCTGCGGCGGCTGCATTTCCGATGGAGGCGGAAATGTTGTAGACCCGTGTGCTCAGATTTGGGTGCACGTTAAAGAACCCCAGGTGGTCGAAATTTCCGGAGCCCTCCACTACGGCGTCTCTCATAATCATATGGTGGTTTTGGGACGTTAAATCCCACAAATAAATCAATCAATCAAGCAAGAGGTCGTTCGTTCAACTCAGCACACCGGAATCTTCTTCTCGATTATTTTTCTTTTTTGCGTTTTCAAAAAAATCCAGCCAAAAGTGCTCAAAAAATTGCTATCGCAATAAAATTACGCCGCTGCCACAAAAAGGAAGCATGTGTAGATGCGAAGTAGCAGGCCCTAACGTGGCGGCGACGTTGACGCTGCCACTGACCGCGGCCTTGCGCAAGAGAGAAACCTGGGACGCTGCAAAGCATGCAGTGATGGACCGGTGCTTCCTACCAGACCATGCAAATCGGTGCTAAAACGCAGTGGCATCTGGGAGAGGAGAATGATTGGACACAGAGACCCACAGTCTGCTTTAGCACGCACGCTGCGAATTTTGGGGGCGAAGCTCCCTAAGCCATGGGTCGCGCGTCCGCGATGTATGTAGTAGTAGTAGTTGTAGTAGTTGTAGTAGTAGTAGTAGTAGTAGTAGTATTAGTAGTAATAGTAGTAGTAATAGTAGCAGTAGTAATAGTAGCAGTAGTAATAGTAGCAGTAGTAATAGTAGCAGTAGTAATAGTAGCAGTAGTAATAGTAGCAGTAATAGTAGTAGTAGTAGTAATAGTAGTAGTAATAGTAGTAGTAATAGTAGCAGTAATAGTAGCAGTAATAGTAGCAGCAGTAGTAGTAGTAGTAGTAGTAGTAGTAGTAGTAGTAGTAGTAGTAGTAGTAGTAGGTAGCCACCTCCACGGCCGGAATAAAGAAGCGGCACGCGCGATCCCTTTTCAATTGAAGAGGAAACCCGCGCACGTTACACATAAATAAAAATATAATTGTTTCTGATAAAATAACTTACAGCGGCGAGGATTGGCGACCCAAACTAACAAAATTTGCATTGAATTTGATGCTTATTAAAAAAACTGGTATTAGAAGGACGCACTTTGAGCACTATCTGATCAGAAAGGGTTGCTACGTTAAACTCCTTGGTGCAACTTCCTTGGTTTTAGCAAGGTTTCAGACGGTCGGGCCACAGTGCCATGAATATAGTGAGCTAGTATAAAGCCATGCGCTAGAGGCGGTGAAAGGTGGGAAGTAGACACGAAGCGCAAGCCGTAAGAAAGTGCGCGATTGCCACCTCTCGCTTAGTACTTGGAATGCCCACTGGATGGCGGTACTTCTATATGCTGAATATATGATGAAAAGATGCAAGATGGCGGTACTTGGGAGTGTTTACTAGATTAACAGACAGGCAGACAGACAGACAGACAGACAGACAGACAGACAGAGAGGGATACAGAGACGAGCGCACGGATAGATGCACGGACGGACGAACGGACGCACGAACAAACGCATGAATGGACGCACAGACAGACAGACGGACGGACGTGCAGACGGTCGCACAGACAGATGGCAGCAAGAACAAACGGACGGACGGACGCTTCGCCCCACTCATCATCACGCACTCAGTGGATACGATGTTTTTTTTTTTTCAATAACAAATTTCGTATAGGGATTACACAGCACACATTCGAACTCAAATATAAAGCTGATTAAAGCACACATGGCTGTGAATCATTACATATGCTCCGCTAACCTTTCGTGAATCCTCTACTTATCTTGCACGTCTCAATTTCTCGTGCGCATGAACGTTACGTTGCAGTGCCGTATGATATAAGCCAGAGTATCTCCGTAGCAGCGGTTGCTGAAATAACGGCAAATTATTTATCGGTACTTGGAAAACACGGCGGAAAAAATTGGCACCGTATCTGCATGTTACGCTGCAAATGTCGTCGAAATACGATAGTCTCGCGTCTGGAGAGAGTGAACAAAACGTTTGATGTTCTGCACAAGCAAATCGGTGATAGTATTCTGGAGGCGCTGCGTTAGAGTGCCTCGAGCATGCAGCGGAGGCGAACGAGCGCATCAAGTCACGTCACACGTGACACATGAGCGCTATCTGGCAGTTATCTTGGAAAATGAAGCGCACGCGCCCGTGTCGCAGGTGATAAGGTGTTGAACGCAAGGCGACGGGTAAGTGCCATCACCGTTTCGTCTTAAAGCGTTGGAAACACTCGCCTTTTCGTGCATGCGTTGCCTGGTCAGCGCAACGTGATAAACGCTACGGTCCTTAGACTTACTTGCGTGTGCCTTCTCTAGTACAAAGGCACACGTACAAAACATCGACGTGTTGTTATGGTGCCTCAGATATGCGCAATAATTGGCTTTTAACTGACAATCACACAAGTATGAACGCTCAATCTTGAGCAATATTGGTGGGCGCTGCGGGTGGTGTCGGCCGTTTGGAGTATCGTTGGACCACTTTGGTGCCGTTTAGGGTACTGTTAAGGGCAGACAAACAGACAAATGTACAAACAGACAGATAAAAATTTTTGCGACGAAGGTCCCCAGGAAAGACTATCGTCTTTAAAAATGACAGCATATCCACGGGGTGAATGATGCAGAGTAGAGCGAAGCTGGGTACGCACGCCGTTACAGCACCGCTTGGCCCTCCCGTTCTCGTACGCCGGGATCTTAACGGCGCCACGGCGCAGCTTCACGGCACGCTTCTGCCTCGCGCATCGTGGTTCCGTCTTCGAGCGCGAAGCACTGCCGCTCTACGCGCACGGCGCTCTGCAGCACTGTCCATCCGCCGACCTTCTGAACGCACGCGCCAAAACAGCTGTTATTTTACTACGCCACACACTCACGGATGAACGATGAGAGAACGGACGGACGGACGAACGCAGGGACGCACGATAGGACGCACGCATAGACGGAAGCAAGAACGAAGGAACGGATGGCCGCAAGAAGGACTGAGTGACGGATGCTTTGCCCCACTCGCCATCAGTCACTCCATGAATATGCTGCGATTTTTTATTTGTCATACTTGTACCTGTATATTTTTCTAACGTGTGCCACCAGTTCACTCGCCAGCGTATCAGTGTAAGGAAGGAAGCCAGGTGTTCGCTTTCATTTTAGTCTTCATACCCACTCATTCCACATGCCTCAAAACATAACTGCAAAACATTTTTTTCGACACTGACCTCAACTCGCCTCGAACGAGACAAGCACTTGCCAACGCATTGCGGCGACTGGGTGATCGGCCGCATTTTGTGCAGGCGCTATACTACATCACCGCCAAGACATTTCGACAGCCCACAAGACAGCGAGAGCCCTCATGTGCTTTTTGAGGACGACGGGCCTGTGCGAACGCCTCTGACTTGCACTGCAGTTCCACACGCTGCCTTAAATTCACTACCTCTTTCTCTTTTCCTTATCTTCCCTCCTCTCTTCATCTTTCCATTCTCTTCCCTACCCCCCCCCCCCCCCCCCCCCCCCCATGGTAGACAACAAGAAGTCTTTCTCGGTAACCTCCTTGCGTTCACTTTTCCTCTGTGCTTCCCTGGCTGCAACTACGAGGGCGGTCACGTAGGCTACAGCAATAAATCATCTATTCCCGGCAGATGGTAATAGAAATAATCTATTACCATCTTCCCACTTAAGCTTTCGAAAGGAAATGACAGCGCAAGTGCTGCGAAAAGTATCTATACATAGAGCTCTGCGTACAATGAAAAAAAAAAGTTCTCCAGAAAGCAGCTGGCCTTTTCCTACAACAACAATCTTCAGAACAGAGGTCTCGAGAAACATACGCATGCTTCACGTTCCGATCAAAACGTGTACCGCTTTTGGACTGCGCAAGCAGGATTTTGCAAACACAGGCGCCGTGTTCCCGAAATCATCACCGAACATGAAATACTTTATGTCTAACCAATGTCAAATATACTTTTAGAAGCCCTGTACAAGGACACAGAGCCGCCAGACCTTTTGAGTATAACTAGTGCGTCATAACGCCTACAGCGTTGCGTCGAGTAAGCATGCAGACAATGCGTATTCAGAAATGAAAGGGTGCGAAAAAGTAAAACCAAATGTACAACAGATGTGCGCAATGATTTCAAACGGGGTCTTGTGTAGAAATCATAATTTCCGTCACTTGTCGGGGAGGGGGGGCAGTAATATTTAGTTTTGGTGTGCGGGTTACGTGCAAGAAACGAGCGAGCATGAACAATAGCGATCCGCCTATGTTTAACGCCTGCGTTCCGCCACTGTTATCCGATCATCGGGTATGACGTAACCAAAGTAATAGTACCTCGTTTGACCACCCCAACAGGCGACAGCGGGGGTGAAGATTGATTTGATTGATTGATTTGTGGGGATTAACGTCCCAAAACCACCACATGATTATGAGAGACGCCGTAGTGGAGGGCTCCGGAAATTTTGACCGGGGGGTGAAGATTGTGCGACGCTTGAACTCGGGTGCGAATGTAAAAGAAACTTTAGTCCGTAACACTGTCAACGAAGGGTCCCTGGGAGCCGCCATAAGCCGTTCTGGGCTGCGCTTAACATGCGTGGCTCCCCAATTACGAAAGGCTAAAGCTGTGACGTCTGCTTCTGTGCTCTCGTGCAGCAGCCCAGAAAGGAGGAGATTCTCCTCTCCTTCAAGAAGGTCTATACAAAAAGCTAGCTCATTTTTCGGAAATCTAAATGGGCTTCTTGCCAATTCAAACAGCAGAGGAGGTTACCGAAATCAAATCTAGAGGTCCTTGGACTCCGAGATTGTCCGCCGCGCACCGGTAGGCCATTTCGAAGGCCTGCATTTAGGCCTCTTTATTTAAGGAAACATTTACAAGCTCGAAACGCGATTTCTCACTTGGTCCGCACTTGTCACGTGTCTGCCACCAAAAGATAACGGCACGTGCCTCGACGACGCCTGCGCGCATGCGCACACTACTAACGGAAACTTTAGAGCGTCATCAGGCGTTTCACGGTGGAGGACTCCTGTTTTCGTTTTGATAACGTCAGCTTTAACGTACGCTAACAGCGCGGAATATAGTAGTGCAATCTTGCAGTGAGACGGTGTCGTAACACGGACAACCAGCAAAAAAGACTGCTACTTTATACCCGTAAGGTCCTTAATGGGGGAAAAAATTGAGAAAGGGCGTTCTGCTTGTTAGTAGTTTTTTTGAAGGACTGCTGAATTCTACGTGTACTGATTGAATTGAGGAGGCGACCTCGCTGACCAGTACCAACTATCGTTACCTTCGAACGTGACATTTTCTAGCACGATACGAAAAACCTAATGATAGGGCAAAGAAAAAGAAATGACAGAATAGTAACGCTGGCAGTGAGAAAATCGGCGTTTCTGTTATTTCTTCTTCTCTGATGCATATTTAGGTTTTTCTCATTGCGCTGGAAAATGTCCAGCTAGAAGTTCCAACTAACCCAACTTTTCGCATTCAGTCATTACTTTCTGTTGTATCGAAATTAAACACACTGACAGACAGTCGTATTCATGGCTTTCTTAGTAAAGCTCTTCACTTCACTTAAGCGCAGCTAGCTGCAACTTCTAGCTTAATTTCCACAAGCATAGAGTTACAAATTCCAAAAACGCCTCCCGAACAAACGCAGCATTCCCATTTCCTATGCTAGCAGTACTGTTCAGCGTCATTTCTGACTCGCTTCTGAACAAACTGGCTTTCAGGCGTCGAACGGGCATTAATGTAAAGGCTGAAATATATCTGGTGTGTATTCATTGATTGATACGTGGGGTTAAACGTCCCAAAACCACGACATGATTATGAGAGACGCCATAGTGGAGGGCTCCGGAAATTTTGACCACCTCGGGTTCTTTAACATGCACCCAAGTATGAGTACACGGGCCTACAGCATTTACGCCTCCATCAGAAATGCAGGCGCCGCAGCCGGGATTCGAACCCGCGACCTGCGGGTCAGCAGCCGAGCACCTTAGCCACTAGACCACCGCAACGGGCGCGATCAGGTGTGTATGGATACATAGTGTGCAGACGCTCGCGCCACTAACGTTTACAGCAAAAGTTGAGAAACACCAGCAAACCATAGCGAAACGCACCAAATAGCAACCTGTAGGGCTAGTTGGACACAGCGATTCTTGCTCAACGGCGCATGCGCGCAAGCATGCACCCATCGGCGCGCTCTCCAGACCGACGTCATGAACCGCAGTGTCGGCGACCCGCCTTTGGAGAAGTAGAAGTTGCCGAGTACGTGAGCGGGGCTATAGTTGTCTCTACGGTATTCTTAAGTTGTATCAGACTACAGCGCCCCCCCCACGCTCCTTTTCTTGCACGTTCTATAGCCCTATGCGCGTGTAGATAGGGCCCTGCGCGAACTGCGCCGCGTGTGTCTGGGAGGATTCCAGATTTTTTTAGGACCACCGGTTAGGCTTGGAGACGCGGACACCTGAGTTGATTTTCGAACAGCCATATCAAACCCCACCGTGGTGGTCAAGTGGCTAAAGTACTTGGCTGCTAACCCACAGGTCGCGGGATCGAATGCCGCCTGCCTATTTCCGAAGGAGGCGGAAATGTTGTAGGCCCGTGTGCTCAGATTTTGGTGCACGTTAAAGAACTCCAGGTGGTAGAAATCACCAGAACCCTCCACTACAACATCTCTGATAATCATATGGTGGTCTTGGCACGTTAAACCCCACATATCAATCAATCAACACACACGTCAAACAGTGATTACGCTGAAACGTTCGATGCCACGTGTATAAATGCCGACAAGCCTCGCCACGAATCAGGTTATCGACGGCCGACGCTACGTTCATCGCGGTCAATCTGCAGCGTGTATGGATTGTAGAGTGACATTTCATTTTGAGGGCAGATATTCACCCGAATAAAAAAGTCCACTCTTGAAAACACTGACTGCGCCCTTCGTGAACGTCATTACCCCAGAACAGTGTAAAACTATAGGCAAGATAACCACTGGTAAATAGGAGTAACCAACTGTATTTCAAGTGAAGGCCAACGCGCGAGTGTAAGCAACAAGTTTGGTGGACAGGCGAGGTTATTAAAAAAAGTTTGCGGGCATAAAGTGGCAGCAGCAAGCACTGGACTGTATTGGCTGGTGGAGCATGGGAGATGCTCTTGCCGTGCAGCTGACTTAGTTAGGCTGATGATAGTTTGCAACTATGCGTTGAAGACAGCCGTATACTCACCATGTTCACTTGTGGCCGGGGGAACGGTTCGGGGTGGTGAACCTGGACGGGATCCGTGGTGACGGAGCTTTGGGCAAAGCCACTCGATTCACTGCAAAGAGAAAGAGAGAAGTGATAAAGAACGCAGGCTATTGTATACGTCAATTCCCACCCGCACAAGCGGAGAGACAGAGAAAACAATATGCATTAGAGCGTAAACCTCATAAAGGGTTTACGACTGTCAACAATGTCCCCATGCAGAGAGTAACAAACAAAAACCCGGCATTTTCAACATCAACACTAAGTTGACAACATGGTTATCGAACCACGCGAAGCTTGTTAGAGACAACAAAGAGACAGAGATAATGGGTTGTATGATGACGTCGTCAACGCTTGTATATCTGATTACGTCCTTCTGAGTCAAATTTGTGAAGCTATGCTCCGCTAGAGAGTTGACCGATAGAATGCGTAAGGCAGATAAATAAATTCGCATCTCTTTACATTGAGACGCTGTCGTTACCCGCGTCCCCCTTAACCCCGCCCCCTCAAAGAATATGGAGATACGAAATAGGTCAATTACTCTATTATGGAAACTCAACCAATGTCACACGTTCAAGAGAGCGAGTGAAAGAGAGAAAGATGTAGTCTGGAAAGGCAGGGACCTTAAGCGAAAGGTAAGCGATCACGTATGCCATTATAGCCACGTTGCCCTCGGGAAACCCTTATCTAGCATTGATACCAGCGGTATTCTATTGCGATCAATGCGCCGTATGGGGTGCAAAGCGTAAGCTTGCTGTCTCAGCGCATTAACATGGACAAAACAGTGAAGAGCCATCATTACAACTCCCCGAATATACCCGGAGCTTTCTATCGGAGCGATAACACAGCACCATACTGAACAGCACGAACGGGGTTGGTCCTTATCGTTCCATGCTTTGTCGTGGCGCACCAAGGCACTGATTTCATAACCATTTTTAACCACGCGCCATAACCACACTTTTTTTAGGAGAGAAGCTCTTCTTACTCTAACCTTGTCCTGCGTCAGGCGTAACTGACCGTACCTCCCGAACAGTAAAATAGATGGCGCTGTCTCATCAACATTTGTTTCATTTTCTAGAGGGCGTTGGTCCAAGAGAAGTGTGTGTAATAGGACGAACGAACGCACGGAAGCATGGAGGAAAGGTCGGATGTGTGGACGGACAGGTGGTTGGATAGATGCACGGAAGGAAGCACGGACGGACGCATGCACGGACGGATGCACGAACGGAGGGATGGACGAGTGGCCGGACACAGGGACGGACGCCCGAACGCTTCGCCCCACTCTTCACCATTCACTCCGTGGATATGCTGCGATATTTTTTTTTTTTTTTTTTTTTTGATGAGCTACACGGCAGACACGCACGAGGAACGAAATAATCTGCAAATTCCTTGTTATTTTCGTTCTCCAGCTCACCCTTTGTAACCAATATCAAAGGCCAATCAGAACGTTTATGCAATGAGGCGAACAACTAACTCACCAATGACGTCGCTTCCGCCTGTATGCGTACCCGTTTTTCTTGCGTTTAGGAACAAGGTAACGCCGATTCTGCAAGCGATGAATCAGTGGCGTCGATAAACGTCACAATAGATCGAGAAAACCGAAACGGTATTGCGGGGGATCTGAATTGAGCAACGCCAAAAACAAACACTGCATCATCCCGGAGTATTGTGTGCATTATTGCATCGCATTAGAATGCATTTTGTGTCGAAAAAGCTGCTTTATCTGCGTCAGGGTCACTGCTGTGCGGTGCTTGCAGGTTAGAAGAAAGAAAAATAATTTTTACCTTTTTATTTGTACAAATTTCTTGCGGCTTCCAACGCCTAGAACATTATGTGAAGATTCTGCGACAGTCACAAGCAATAAAAATTGAACAGAACATGAAAAACTCATTATTAGAATACAAGCAATCGCCGATGCTCATGTTTTCTCTTTGAGAGAGCTTTGGGGGAACTTCGGAGGTTGCGCAGAAGTTGTTCATTGCGTCATCCGAGCATAAGTTCTTTTTCATTATTTTTCCGTGCATATGTAATATATTTTGAAGTGACGTTAACGAAAAATACGAAATAACCTAGCACTTGATAATTCCTTTGGAACTTCAAGCTATTTTTTTAGAAACAAGGGAGATACCTGCAAGCATAAGACGCCCTGAAGTTCGTACTAAGAAAGGGTGACTTGATATTTCATCAGTGTGACTTCTGGAGCTACCACACAATCGTGTGACGTCAGCAATTTCTCGAAACAGCACGAAGGCGTTGCGTTGACTCCCAGTCAGGACGGCGAAATTTCGAAGGGGGCAAAATCCACACGCAGCTGGACAGCCTGCTTTGTTTCTGTTTGGTTTTCTCTTCGTTTAGCTTTTTTCTAGTTATTTTGCTCCTTTTACTTGTGTATATTTATATCCATATTTCTTCGCATTTCTTCCGCTTGCTCTCTCTGTCCGCCTACAATACGTCGCGGCCCGAGACGGCTGGCTATTGGCCTTTCTTTTAAATGCGAAGCATTTCTTAGTGAGTTTCAGCGACTGAGCGTATCTAATCTATTTATCTATCTATCCATCTCTATATCTATATCTACATCCATCTCTATCTCTATCTACATCTACATCCATATCTCTATCTCTATCTACATCTCTATCTACATCTACATCCATATCTACATCTCTATCTACATCTACATCCATATCTACATCCATATCTACATCTCTATCTACATCTCTATCTACATCTCTATCTACATCTCTATCTACATCTCTATCTACATCTCTATCTACATCTCTATCTACATCTCTATCTACATCTCTATCTACATCTCTATCTACATCTCTATCTACATCTCTATCTACATCTCTATCTACATCTCTATCTACATCTCTATCTACATCTCTATCTACATCTCTATCTACATCTCTATCTACATCTCTATCTATCTATCTATCTATCTATCTATCTACATCTCTATCTATCTATCTATCTATCTATCTATCTATCTATCTATCTATCTATCTATCTATCTATCTATCTATCTATCTATCTATCTACATCTCTATCTATCTACATCTCTATCTATCTACATCTCTATCTATCTATCTATCTATCTATATTTCTATCTCTATCTATCTCTATTTCTATCTCTCTATCTATATCTATCTCTCTCTATTTCTATCTATCTATCTATCTATCTATCTATCTATCTATCTATTTATGCAGCTATCCATCTCTCTCTCTTATCTATCTACGCGCGCAAGCTCAGCTGCACTATTGCAAAGAAAGACTCCACGTATACGTTACCTTGTTACTGCCTGTCCTCCAAACTCCTTTTTCCACGCACAGTATATGTGGGGTATAACGCGTGCCCTTGTGTACAAGAAAATATAACCATTCGCGCAGTCTCCACAAGTTATTACGTCACCGACAGAGCACCTCCATGCAGGCATTCATAATCAGCACCTGTCTCAGGTGCGCTAGCGCCGAACAATCGTCACGATTAAGGAAGAGGAAACAAACAAACAAACAAAGAACCCGTTAAATGACAGCTCGAGGCTACCGAAACGTATCATAGGGAACCTGTGGAGAGGGCTAGTTGAGAGAGTAGAGAGAAAGAGGGGGGTTTCTGAGAGCAGTGGAGTCGAGCGAGTGCGTTTCTGTGCCGCAGCTCTATAAATGCGCGTTCCGGCACACCTGCGTGGCGCCATATGCGGCGGTGCTCCGTTTCGCGAGAATGCAGATGCGTCGCGCCCCTTGACGGGCGAGGAGTGGACTAACAAAGGAGAGGCCCTTCGCGAAATGCGCTAAATATTCTCCCCAAGGTACCGCATTGCCACACGTACACGGAGCACGACCGCGAAAAACGATGTCACGGCGCCGATTTTGCGAAATGTCAACAGCAAGAAAGGAAAAAAAAAAGAGACAGTTCCAGCGCTAGGCCGAAAGTACAAATGCGACAGTCAGAAATCGGATAAGGAAGAAAAAAACAAGAGCAAAGACAGGGAGGCAAACCAGGCGCATGCCCCGTTGGCTACCCTGTATACACTGGGGGAATGGGAAAGGGGAATCTACAGATGAGAGAGAGGAGAGCCACGAATCGAAATGTTACACGAAGTGAGGCTCGCAGATAACATTCCTTGATACGATATCACGTAACTTTACAAAACGTTGGCGTAAGGGATACGGCTGCTCCAAGAACAGTGGCGGTGCCCGGGCTGTGTGTCCTCTCAAAGCGAAGGAAACGGTGAGAGCAGAGCAGGTAAAGTACAAGACTGTGTGGGTCGTGCACCGTCTACATCTACGGGTGGGCGCCCTTAAGGCCTAACCACACGTACGCGTACGACGCGTCGACGCGCGGCATGCCCTCTCTCTATGAACCCTCTCTACCTACACGAAAGAGGACGCCCAACTACACGCAGTGGTGCGCGCTTTCCCTCCATAGCGAGAGTGCGTGCACACAGAGGGCACGCCGTTCGCTGACGCGTAGGAACGCGCACGTTTGTTTAGCGCTTTACGGTCAAAGTTGATTGATTGATTGATCGATTGATTGATATGTGGGGTTTAACGTCCCAAAACCACCATATGATTATGAGAGACGCCGTAGTGGAGGGCTCCGGAAATTTCGACCACCTGGGGTTCTTTAACGTGCACCCAAATCTGAGCACACGGGCCTACAACATTTCCGCCTCCATCGGAAAGGTCAAAGTTGTAGTTGCTGCTTGAGTGACGCAACCCCCCTCCACCCTTAACCGACTCCTCCAAAACTGTGCATCACCCATTGACACTGCACTGATGACCCATAGTGCATTATCAACACCCCAAGCATGGCTTTGCACTGGATATTCCACGATGGATAACCTTTTCGTAATTTCTTGAAGTGCTGTTGATGTTCAATAAGAGAATTTGCGAAAGCACTTTCGGAGATCAGGTAATTTTTGAGAGCACTGTGGACGACCGATCAGGTTTTTCAGAAACACCGTCAAAGCTTAGTGGAACCCGAACACTGCACTCGCAAAATAAAACGTGAATTTACAGTCCATATTTTTATGATAAAAGATGCGAGGTCGGATACTCGAATAACAAAGCTTA